TAGGAGTTTGCATCGTTCCTGTACTTAAACCACTAAGACACAAATCCAGCAGACAAACTAGATCTAAGAAAGTGAAGAGTTTCTTCCCAAACCTATCACTCCAAATTATTCATAGCTGACGTAGAGCAAGACACCAGGACACCGAGACAGCAAAGGCTGTCGGGAGAGAATGCCTGGGTTGGTGTCTTGCTAGAAGGGAAAATAGATGCTCAGCTGCACTGTCCTTTTCTCCCTGGAGACTGGAAATGGTCAACGAATAGGGTTGGTTGGCAAAGCCCTGCTGTCTATGAATGGAATCCCAATCTCAAGCTGCTTTTCTGCAACATGCCACTTAGGCTGGACCATGCTTCAGTGGACGCACTGAGAGGCGACAGTGGGAGAGAGTCTGTGTATGTCACAAATTAAGGAACAGTTGCCAACATTGGTCTGAGGGATCCCTCTACTAATACAGTAGCTTTCAGCAGTGCACAAGAGAGCCTCGCTGCTGTCTTCAATGGAGGGACCGTTACTCCAGCCTTCGCAGTCAAGTTGGCATTGATCCTGCGAGTTCTATGCCCATGGCACTCCAAAGTTTAGACTGTTTTAATTAGGGTTTCCATTGCTGCGAAGGGACACCATGGCCATGGCAACTCTTATAAAGGAAAACATTTAATTGGGGCTGGCTTACAGGTTCAGAGCTGTAGTCTGTTATTGCCATGGAGGGAGGCGTGATGTCACACAGGCAGACATGATGCTGGAGAGGAAGTGGAGAGTTCTATATCCGGACTGGCAGGCAGCAGGAAGAGGGAGAGAGAGGATGTGCGTGACACTGGGTCTGGTTTGAGCATCTGAAACTTCAAAACCTATTTCCCTGTGACACACTTCCTCCCACAAGCCCATCAAGGATGCACAAGACCTGCTTGGTGGGACCCTGAGAGTTGGGTGTCAGAACCAAAAAGAGAAATTTGCACGGCTGCTAGAGTTGGGAGGTGAAACCCTGGGAATGGGATGGGTGTGGAGATGAGACCTTTGGAACTGGTAGAGGAGTTGGGGAATAATACAATGGGCAGATGGGAAGCTCTGAAGAGGACAAGGGTCATGGGTCACCACAATGGGTGACTAGCAACATCAAACATCAGAGGCCAAGAAGACCAAGACCCCAAGAGAAACACAGGACTGCATCAGACATGTTATATCTCCTTGTAAGAGTGTTAGATTAATTAACATTAACTTTCCAACTCCAGTTTGGGGTTTGGTTTTATACAGTGTTAATTATCACTTTAATGACACAGACCGTGGTGGTTTGAATGAAAACGGCCTCCATAGGCTCAGATATTTGAATAGTTGGTCCCCAGTTGGTGGAACTGTTTGGGAAGGATTAGGAGGTGTGGCTGCTATGCTTCTAGTGGTGATGATCATGAATTAGTAGCCCCTGAAGCTGTAAGCAAGCCCCCAGTTAAATGTTTTCTTTTATAAGTAACCATGGTCATGGTATCTCTTCACAGCAATAGAATAGTAACTGAGACACAAAATATCCAGGGAAAATATGAAAAAGTTTCTTGCTGGTTGTTGTTCCTCCAAAGCTCTTTGGGGCCTTTGAGGGTGTTTTTGGCTCTGCCTCAGTGGCGAAGGGTCTTCATGATCACCCACCCTAGTCCACATGAGCAGCTGTCTGCTGTCTCTGCTGTCACCTGTTCTCAAATGGCTTGTCCCACTAAGCTAATTTTTCTGGGATGCTGGCACCAAAAATCAAGGCGCTAGGCATCAGAATCTTGTCTTTGGTGTCCTTTTCATGGCTGCAGGTTGCACTATAACCCTGGCCAGCTGCCTTGCAGAGACAAGTGACGGTCATAAGGAAAATTATATGAGGGATGGATGGATCAAGTTCTTACTACAAAATTCTTACTACAAAAACCACGTGTTCAGCTGGGAGCAGATCAGTATCACTTTCTCTAGTAAAAAAGAACATACATGCTCATTACACATGCAGAGCCGTGGAGAAAATGTGACAGGTGACAGGTCCAAGTGCTGCTTCTCTAAAGATGTCAATCTGCTTCAGATTCTGTCCTGGAGTTTATGAATTAATGTTGTCACTTCTGCTCTACAAGCTAAGCATATACAGAGTTCTGATTTCATTTCTTTCTCTTTAGAACAGATTCTAGTTATTTTCATCTGCTTTCACACTTTTTAAAAATAATTTTTATGTACATTGGTGTTTTGCTTGCACATATGTCTGTGTGAGAGTGTCGGATTCCCTGGAACAGAAGTTACAGTTGTGAGCTACCATATATGTGCTGGGAATTGAACCCAGGTCCTCTGCAAGAGCAATTAGTGCTCTTAACCGTTGAGCATCTCTCCAGCCCCTGACTTCACACTTTGATTAGATAAAGCACTCTCACAGATGTTGTAAAAGTATTAATAATTGGAACCACTCTGAAGATAGATAGGTCATATGCATATGGACTAAATCAAACCAATAGGGGGATAAAGACTATGAGGTGAAAACACCGTGTGTGTGCATGTGTGTGTGTACGTGTGTGTGTGTGTGTGTGTGTGTGTGTGTGTATACAAATGCATATGGAGGCCAGAGGTACCAAAACTGCTGTTGTCCAGAACTCACCGAGTAGGCTAGGCTTGGCCTCCCCTGTGCTGGGATTACAAATTACATTGCCACACCTGGCTTTTTTCTGCCCTATTGTCTGGGTATTGAATTCAAGACTTTGTCTTGTGTTGTCAAGACAAACACTTTATGGACTGTGCCATCTCCACAGCCCCTGGGGGCAGAGAGAGAAAAACCCTGTAATTCCTGGCACTAGAGTTCCTTTGGGGAGGGAATTTTCTCTGTGTAGGAAAATACTTTGGTAAGCAGGTTAGCCATGGTAGGTGGTCATGAAAACACCAGCTGAGAGATGGAAAAATACCGCATAGAGAGAGGACACGGATTTCTGCAGAAACGGTACTACATAAATGGGGGACAAGGGCAAATTGTGGCTTCTGCTGAAGGGCTAGGAGTTGGTGGATGAAAATGTCATGGGAGGAAACAAAGGACCTTTAAGGGGAAGGATTTCTAATTTTGTGTGTGTGTGTGTTTCATTAAAAACCACCTACTCCAGACTTTCAGAAAAATGTGCTTTGCCAATAAGCAAAGAGAGGAGATTGATTTTCAAGAGGAAGGGGAAGAGAGAGAGAGAGAGGGAGAGAGAGAGAGAGAGAGAGAGAGAGAGAGAGAGATAGAGATAGAGAGGGGGGTAAGATGCGAGGAAGCTTTAAGTGCTCAGAGAAAGAACTCTGAACTAGAGGTGACCCTGAGACTGTGTACCCCATGGACAGTACAGTCTTAGACTGGGTGTCCCCACAGAGGTGGGCAACGGACTTGAACCAGTTTTAACAAGGCCTCTGTGACAGGTGACTCTGACAAACAGTATTTGTGTTTTTTCACCCCCCCTTTCCTTCCTCACCTTTTTGAGACAGTCTCACTTTGTCGTCCAGGTTGACCTCAAATTTGAGGTTGGTCTCCTCCCCCAGTCTCCCAAACTCTGAGATCACAGGTAGTTGTGAGCCACTACGCCCAGGTCCACCATGATTTATCTGTCATTTTCTCTCTGTCACAGGCTCTCACACATGCTAAGCTGGCCTTTAGCTCTGTGCAGTTGAGGTTGATCCTGAACAGCTGTCCTCCCTCCTCCAGCCTTCTGAGTGCCAGGGTTACAGGCATGTGCCACCATGCTCGGTTCTTGTGGTGCTGGGGATCAAACCCAGATTCGCGTACATTAGATAAGGGCTCTAACAAATGAGCCACACCCAGCCCTAATTTCTCAAAAGACATTATAAGAAAACATCAAGGCCAGTTATTTGCTTCCCCCTTTTATTAATGTCTTAATTTCCTCATCTATAAAAGCTGGAGACTGGGCCTAGAATACCCTGCGATTTCTACTAGAGCTGTCTCCTTACATTCCCTTTGAGGTAAACTTGAGTACCGTAAAATGTGCAGATCTGAACTGTTCCATTCCATGAGTTCTGACAACTACACACACTTCCCTGACTACATCTCTAGCAAGATAAAGCACTTTTTAATCAGTGCAGGACAACTACCCCCTCGGCCAACCCACCTTCAATGGCTAGCCACGTATTTTGACTGGATTAACCAGTATCTAAAAGCTACTAGTGATATACCAGACCTTGATACTGCTTCATCAGCATTAAAGTTTCTCACAGGAACAGAGGGATATCTCCGTTTTGCAGATTACACGTCGGAGCAGATAGGTAAGGGGCCCAAGTCATCAGCTACGAAGCAGTTAGCCAGGATGCCATGTGAGAAGCCCAGGTTATTAGGCCCACACTACAGTGACGATCGTGGTGAGTGGGCAAAGGACTGCCTAAGACACGTTATAGCTTTGAATTAGATGGGTGGGGATCAGGACCATTAACGAGTTCCAAACGAGTCCCGAGTATTCCTGCAGGCTGTGTGCACACGCCATCTTTTGCAAAGGCTCGCTCCAACCCCACTACTCGGAAAACGGTAGGAGAGGGCTGCGAGCGGTCCACAAGGCTGGCTCTCAGCGAGGTCGTGTCCTTAGACCGAGGAGCCGCTCGAACGGCTGCCGCACACGTCCAGTGAGAATGTGGTAGGTGCAGCACGCCCTGCACCGGGTCTCCGGGCTCGTCATCTTGCCAGGTGAGGTCTCTGTGCTCGCAACACTGGCCCCTGAGCATCCTTCCCCACAGCCCGTCTTCCCAGGCTCCTCCCAGAGCTGACTCAGCCACACGCCCTCCCCGCAGCGCTGCCACCGCTGCCATGGCAACCGTGAGCCGTCGCCTCTCCGCCCAGGCTGCGAACTAACGGACTCCGGTTGGCAGCTGGCTGGGTACCGCCCCGCCCCACCCCTTTTGACAGCCCTGACCTGCAGGATTTAGATGGTGAGCCCGAGGGGCCGGTATGACCGGGAGAGCAGGGCTGCGGCGCCCAGGTGGGCTGTCCCTGTCCGCATCCCTTTGGTGGCCCTACACTAGGCCGCTCCTCCGAGGAAAAGTCCGGAGAGTCGCGGGGACAGTGGTCCCGATCGCAGGGCATCATGGGACTTGTAGTTCGATGGCTTCTCAGGCTCGCCGCCTGGGTTGGGTGACTCGGTCCCGAGAACTACAAAGCCCAGCGGTTCTGAGCGCGGTGACCGACTGATAAACTGGGAGCGGACCTGAGAGCGTTAATGGGGCTCTTTGTCTGCAGGGGGTTTCGGGGTGGTTGCTGAACGGGACGGGGTGCGGTGGGCTGGGGAAGCTCAGGTGAGCCGCGGGCCTCAGTGCTGCGCTTGGGCCCGGCAGTCACTGCACTCGCGGCCCCGCCCCATCGCCACCGCGCGGGGCCTGGGCCTCCTAGGGCGCTGCCCCTTGGTGCAGAACTGTGTTTACGGCACAAGGTCTTTGAGAGACCCGACGAACCCGTCATTAAAAGGCCTTTTGCCTTTCCCGTGAATCTCTAGGTATTTCTGCTTATTTTCAAGTATCTCAGAGCTGTTGGCATATTAAACCCATTCATTAGTGTGCGTTCAGAGGACAGTAATATTTAAAAGGATAAGCGTGAGAGCGGATGAACGATGCTACTGTTATCTGGCGGTGTCTTTTTTTTTTTTAACCGTTTTGCATTATAGGGTTCAGTATTGTGAAATAACGACCGCCCCTTCCCCCCTCCGCTCCCCATTCATCAGCCTGAACGTTTGTACTTTGAAGTCTAGTTAAACTTTAAATGGTTAGTTAACTTTTAAAGCAAATAGTAAAAATTTTAAAGACCATATTTGGTATTATTTTCCTTAGTTATCCTAAATATTTTTTTCCAGAATTTCCGAGGGCCATGTTTTTAAAATAAAATATGCTATGCCACATCTTTTTAAAAAGTATTACTGTTTTAAATGTCGTGCTGTGGAATACAGCTCAGCCACAAGAACCGAGTCAAAGGCCTAGTGGGAAGAAAGCTGACAGATCTGGAAAGTGGCCCTCAGCGCATCCTTTAAATTAAGGTTTTTACTAGATAGATAACCTCACATTTGGTATTATATGGGGTAAGTTGGGACGTACTTGACACTGTTGTAGACTTATTATTATTTTTTGTATGTATATTCTTGTATGTTAGAAATAACAGCAAAAATAAGACCAGGAGCACTAAACTTATTTTCTCTCATTTGTGCTGACATACTTACATTTTAAAGTAGTGGGTTTTTTTTTTAATTTTCTTTCTTTCTTTTTTTTTTTTTTTGGATAAGGAGGTAAATAGTAAGGCTGTAGGGGTGGAGGAGAGGTCGTATATAGTGTAGAGATTTGAGGTATTATATATTTATTCATTAAAATACATGTAAGGCTATTCTACTGGTAGCTAATATGTTAAGTGGTGGAGCTAAGGAGGTGACTAGAAGGTGACCATCTCGTCCGTGGCATGCATTCATTTCCTCACAGTTGTGTGATGGGAACAGTAATTTCAAGAAGAATTATCCCATGTATTGAATGCGTATACACAGTGGTTTGCATTGAGGTCCTTAGTTAAGCCCTACAAAGAAAATGGGAAGCAGTTTTTGTACTTAGCGATGACGAAAGCGGTTTAGAGAGCTTGTCCAAAGTCGTGAACTGGAGACTTCAACCAAGTGTGTCTAACTCATGATCCAACCACTGGTGTGCTTTCCACAACCTCTTATAAGAGCTTGGTCTCCATGGAGACCAGGGGAGACCTTTGGTATCCAATGCAGAACTGGTTCAAATGTAAACATTTTGTATCCACAATCATGAGGAGTAGTGGCATGGAGTTTTCTTAATGTCTGGTTTTAGAATCGATGACAATTTTCAAACATGAGTTGAAAATATTTTTGCCTCTTTCTGGAGAGTGTCTTTTGCTGTGGAATATTAGTTGAAGATGTGTTACATTCATTTATGCGGTGGAACATTTTTTAATGCTGCAAAGATGTGTTGTATTCTTTTATGCTGTGTTTGTTTAACTCTATGAAACTGTGTTACTTTGCCTGTCTAAAACACCTGATTGCCGTAATAAATGGCTGAACGGCCAATAGCTAGGCAGGAGAGAGGAATAGGTGGGGCTGACAGGCAGAGAGAATATATGGGGGTGGGGGGCAAGAGGGATCAAGGAAGGAGGCCAACCAGTCAGCCACTCATGGAGTAAGAGTGAAAGTAAGATACAGAGAAGAAAAGGAAAAAGCCCAGAGGCAAAAGGTAGCTGGTATAATTTAGGAAAAGTTGACTAGAAACAAGCCAAGCAAGACTGGGCATCCATAAGAAAGAATAATGATTTGTTTGGGTTCTGGGTGGCAGGCCCCCCAGAGAACAAAGAGTAAAGAATGAAAACAACCACCTTTAGGACTCTCTAGGGCTTGTGTGTAGCTGCTGGCTCTGGAGTGGTTTGAGGAGGTCTTAACAGACTCAGTTTCCCCGACTGATACAGGATAGGTGAGGTTACTCTCAGGTTCTCTGGAGTGGGTTTGGTGCGTTGTGACCTCACAGATTTGTCTATTTCAGTAAGCTGTCTGGTGAAGTTTGCAATGCTAGCCCTCCCTCAGTTCCGATTGGTAATGTTTCCCTTTTTCCTAGCTAGCTTCACTAGAAGCTGATGAATTTTATTGAACTTTCTGAAAAATCTTCTTTTGGCCACACTGAAGTGTTTTGTATTTTCTCTGATTTTTTTAAAAGTTTTGATTGATATATTCACATTTTATTTTAGAGACAGGGTCTCACTCTAGCTTTGGCTAGCTAGAACCCACTTTGTAGACCAGGCTGTCCTTGAGACCCAGCTGCTTCAGCCTCAGACGCTGGGATTAAAGTCATTACCCAGCTCCCTTGGCACGATTTCTTCTCTTATTATGTTTTCTCTTTCTGCCTCTTTGGGGTTTAACCCCTCCTGCCCTAAAATGAAAGCTGGGTTGCTCTGAGCAGGAACCAGAGGCCAGTACCCAGCAGGCAGTTCTTGAATGACCCAAGAACTAGGGATCACTTTTGCCCTTTTCTAGTAGTTGAAGAAAAAAAATATTGATATATTGATCACTCATAGAAATGGAAGGAAATTCAGACTTCAGTATCTATACAGAAGACCCTGCACTGGGATGCAGCCCCACTCCGCTGTTTATGTACCGCTTATGGCTGCCTTTCTCTGCAATGGCAGAGTTGAGTCCTTGTGTCAGAGATCAAGTGGCATTTGCACAGGCCTGATACAAGTACTTGATAGGCTGCCAGCCGAGTCTTGGTGCTGAACTTGACACCTAAATTATTAGTGCATACTCATTTCAGAACAAGGAAAGGTGAAAAAATGCATTCGGAACATTTAGATGGCAGCGAGTTAGAGGATGAAGCAGTCTGCTTATTCAGTGACCCGGGGGCCATCAGTATACACCACTGTCACCAGAGTAAGCCAACCCAACATAGCCAAGCTGCATAAGACAGCCAAGGCTGGTGGAACCAGCAGGCTTTCACATGCATACCCGCTTCCAGGAGAATCTCTTTGCAGAATTGCAAAGTGGAAATGAAGCCGCTCTGCCGGTCATTTACAAATGGTGCATTTGTTAGCCAAGCAAGAAAATCAGGGACCATTGGGGAGCTGGATTGCAGTAGGCATAGAATTGTGTTTGGAGAAAATAAACTTGTTTAAAATGATCAGCCTTTTGGTATGAACGGTTGCTCGAAGCATTGAGGGCACCATTAATCAATTAAAAACCCAAGGAAATGATTTTGAGTGGTTTTCCTTGGCTCTTGATGAGATGGCAGATGTTAGCAATATTGCTCCATTGTTTATGGAAGTCAACACTGAACTTGAAGTGATTAAAAAGTGAATTTGCACAAACATTGTGTGTTGGGGGGCATCGAGGACACATACAGAGTTTTCAAGACATCAAAACATTTCCATACAACCTGGATCTTCGAAGATACATCATCAGAAGGGTGATTGTGAACAGCTGTGTCGAATGGAGATGAACTCAGGTGGACATGGTTATGAGGCAGGAAAATGTGCGCTAGATTAAGCTAGTGGTCATCTGTCATCCATTCTTTGGTGTTTCGCATATAATATTTATATCTCCCCATAGTCAAGGTCAGAATTCCCTTATGGAATTAGCTAATGAGAGGGACTACCCTCAGCCACTCTTACTGAACGCCAAGTGGCTTGCTTTTTGTCATAAATCCAGTAATATTTCTTAATGAGTTCACCCTACACGTTCTAAGACAGAGCAGGTGCTTGTATCAAAACCAAGACCACAATAAAAATTATTGCTGTGCCAGTTAGTGTTTCTGCACACTCTCCGTGTTGTTCAGCTCTCCTATAGTCAGAAGACAAACAAGTACAGCTCCATTCTGCTCCCCTACCCCGAGGGTTTCTCCCTGTAGTCCTGGCTGCCCTGGAACGCTCTCGGTAGATCAGGGGGCTGGCCTCGAACTCAGAGATCCATCTGCCTCCACCTCCTGAGTGTGGGGATAAATGCATGTGCCACCACTGCCCAGCTGACATCTCCATTCTTACCGTGGCTGTCAGTATTCTTCTGAGCTCAGACGGGGTTTAGCATTGTTTTCCAGACTGAGGCAAATTTTCATATTAGATATCCATTTAACTATGATATTGAAGTTCCTTTCAGCTTCCTCTTTAATCGGTCTTGAATAATCTGCAGAATGCATTGTTTAAATACTCTCTGAACAGTGCCTGTGCTGACTGGAAGCCACGTGGCTGCAGTTTGCTAGCGCGATGTGGGAGGACCACGCTGTCTTCCAGCGAGTCGTTTAAGAACAGATGAAACACGCAGCAGTATTAAAAACCAGCGCTAGTGGCATGCTGCTTGTGATTGATGGCAGGGAGCACTAACTCGGTTCTAAGCTTTGAAGACAGTTGATTCTTTTCATTAGGAGACCTGCTTTACAGAGTCACTGCTATCTTTAGGTTTTAGTTTTATCAGCAGAGAATATAGAAAGTTTTACCTTATAATTCTTTGCATAGTGTCCTCTATTTTGCTTGCTAGTCCTTAGAACTTAAATGCTTGTTTGAACCTTTACAAAAAGGGATGCCAGCCCTTTTGTTATATCAAAGTGTTTTCCCTACAAAATGGTATGCCTGTACATATTAGCAGAAATAATATAATTTGCCAGACAGCAACCTTAGAAGAACATAATTTATGGAGGAGTTTGTGTGTACAGGTTTATTCACTGAGGCTAAGCTAGCCATAAAGCAAGAGTCTAGACTGTTGTGACAGATAGGAGTGACTCATAGCCTAAAGGAAGAAGCCTCTGTTTGACTCTCATGGTTTTGGGGTTCAGTCAATGATAGGCTGGCTCCATGCTTCCGGTCCTTCTTGAGGTAGTTAGTGAATTAGGGCAGAAGGGCATGGTGACAGAGCTGTGGTACCCAGAGAGCAAAGAGAAGACGTGTGCTTTTCTGTCTGGGTCCCCAGCCTATGAGATGCTGCTACCCACATTCCGGGCAGGCCTTATTTCCAAGGCTACTTTTTCTTTGGAAGCATTCTCCTGGATAGACGGAGAGAAGTAATTTACTGATCTTTTGGGACTTCTTAAAATTTTTTTAAATGTATGTATGTGGTGTGAATGCATGTGTGTATGCATGTGTGTGGGTGCACACATGTGTGTAGGTGCACTGGCATGGCTGTGAACAAATCGTGGTGGTCAGAGAGTGACATCAAGGTTCCCCTCCTTTGCTTTTATCTTAAATGTTGAGGCATGGTCTCTCACTTGGGCCCAGAGCTTGCTGATTCCACTGTCAACTTTGGGAAAGTCAGGCTACCCAAACCAAGCGTAATTTCCCAGGAAGGCAAGAAGAAATATTTCTATTTCTGCTATTAGACATTTAATTGGCTTGCTGTTCCAGAGACAGTAGGGTAATTTATACTCGTTCTAGGGCCCCTCCTCTGTCTTTCAGGGGTTTCTGTGCTTATGGTGTTGTGTAGAAAGTGTCTTTGCTAAGAAGCCTTGGGTGACTAGGAGACTTTGGGAAAGTCTAGAGAAAAGCCAGCATTGCTGAGGTGAAGGACTGGCCTAGAAACCGGAGGCTCAGAGGTCATTCCCAGCATCAGAAGGATGGACCCAATAGGACAGCATCAAACAGGATGGAGAGACGGCTCAATGGTGCAAGTAGAGTCAACTCATGAAAGTTATCTGGCCTCCTCTTCCTTATACAAAACAGACACACGTTGAAGGAGAAGGGCAGATTGAGATGCAGAAGTCTCTCACAGTTTAATTTATACTTTGCTCTGTTGAGTGACACAGTCACGGCACCTGGATGATGATGGACTTCATAGGCTGTCCTCCGAAGTATAACTCGAAGTGGGGCTCTTTCCTCCTGGGGGCCGAGGGTCTCAGCAAAACAGCAAAAGTTAAGCTACTTCACAGTATTCACATACATTATAAAGAAGTAGTGGGCAGAAGAGAATCTCGTGGATATATGGGACTGAGTTGGTGGCAGTTAGGAATGAGCTAGGAGCAGCACCCATGTCCTCATCTCCAGTTGTCTGTCACCTCGGTGGTGCTCCCTGTTATCCCCTGGATGTTCTGTGGCCTCCTGAGTACTTAGAGAACTGGAATTGTAGTACAGTCTCAAGACTGTTTGACTCTGAACCAGTTTGATGCACATGTCACAAAACTGATAACTTTTAAAACTTTAAAAAATGCATTGCATTTTATTGTTCAGGTATCTGAAGGAAGATGAATTTGGCAGAGATTTGCGACAATGCCAAGAAAGGGCGCGAGTACGCGCTTCTGGGAAATTATGACTCTTCGATGGTGTACTACCAGGGGGTGATCCAGCAGATCCAGAGACACTGCCAGTCAGTGAGAGACCCGGCCGTCAAAGGGAAGTGGCATCAGGTAGGACGGTGCGCGACTGTTCCCTGCGCCATGGCGGCTGTGTTCTGTTAAGTTGAGGCAGCAGAGTTGGGGAATTACCAGAGAATTCACACGTTCTGTTATAGGTCTGAATACTGAACTACATCTCACATATAATTCTGTGTGCGGTTCTGATATCTACTCAATAGTCTATGTGTTTCTGACCACACATTTTAATCTCTGAGGACACATAATTGTAGCTGAAGGTTTTCTTAATTTTTGAAAATGTTTGTGCTCAATTGTATCTGCCAGCAAATTTTTAGAATTAGGTGTTTCTTGTTGCTGTCTATCCTTTCATTTTTTTCTTTGTAGTTTTGACCTATTTCATAAAAGTTTTCCTTGAAAGTGCCCTTACAAACACAAATGAGTTGGTAATCTAATCAAGGCATTAACATCGTTTCTGTCTTTTTGACTGTACAACTTGATTTTATAATAGTACAGTTAATGCAAACTTGAATTATAATTTCCCCAATTACTGTTGTAACTTAAAATCCTTTTAAAATTAAAAGTACAAAGTCTGACAGCACTTTGAAGTTTCCGTTTCCTTTGGTGTGTTTCCAGGGCCGCCCCTCATTTCTCTACCCGTCAGAAGTTAGTGCTCCCTAAGTTTTGAGGGAAAATGGGCTTGTTTTCCAACAGAAGATTCACCAGTTGCATTGAGTAAGAACGCCACACTAGCTGTGACTTGGGCTGAAATTCTTGGGTCTCAGGTTTTCTTGCCTCTCCCAGGCAGGGTGCTTGTGTTTTGTGGTGGAGAGTGTTGCCCTGGAGATTCCCGTGTGCACTTTACGCAGGTCCAGCATGCAATGTCCTGTATGTTGTGTCTCATGGCCACACGAGCTGGCGGTCCCCTCCACTGGGGGTCTGTCTTTGTTCTGCAGCTCCTCGGGGCTCTTTTCAGTATACTGTTCCAAGGAGTTTTTTTTTCTGCTCCGCTTTGGAGTTAAGTGTGCTTTCTGGTTAAAAATTGCTCTAATTGTTAAAAAGGAGTTTATAGGTACAACTTTTCCAGTCGTTGTTTGCTCTTGACAGTTAGCATGGGTGCCAAGTTTGAAGACAGGACTTTCCACATGGTAGGTACTCAGTTATGTTTTTCAAATGTAGGGAAAGTCTTAAGATAAACTTTATCCAGGACTCAGAAGAGGTGAAGGCCCAAAGAGGCTGAGGTGAAGGGGTCATGAATAAGGGTGGGTGCTGTGTGGTCCTTAGCAGTGTCCCCCAGTGACCAGTCTCTCGGGGCAAGCATTTCATCCTTGGTGACAGTGGCGATGGCGAGTGGGGGTGACAATTTTGACCAATTTTATTTTAGTCTCTAAGAATATTGAAAGATTTAGCATAGTATCTTCAATGTCTGGGGTTAAGAACTTGTTCCTGATACAAATGCTTGATTTAAGTTATATTAATAATCAGCACATCCTTCACCAGACAGTCTTCCCTGTTGTGTAGGGGCGTGCAGTGCAGCCTCGGCTCTCCCGCGCTCTGCGCCTGCCACGCTGAATAGCTGTTTATAAGGCATCTGTGACTCATTTGCACACTTTGACTAGCGCTAAGGAAGTTTACCCTCTGCAGTAATTTATTTGCACTTTGTGTGAACTTTGAACGGCTCCTAATGTAACGGCTCCTTTCTTAAGGTCCGGCAGGAACTGTTGGAAGAATACGAACAAGTTAAGAGTATTGTCAGCACGTTAGAAAGCTTTAAAGTCGACAAGCCCCCGGACTTCCCTGTGTCTTGTCAAGATGAGCCATTTAGAGATCCAGCAGTTTGGCCACCCCCTGTCCCTGCAGAACACAGGTAAGTGAGACTCGGTCAATAGGAGCTTCTAGATAACCATGCTGAGTGAAGCTTTATTTGAACAGTTTTGCAGAAGCATTTTGGGGGCTTATAGACTTAATATGCTTATCATGTTTGTTCCTTGTATGGTCCAGAGTTTGTGTTGGTAAAAGAAGAGGCAAATCCATGTCATGCCCTTGCTTTCTATGGTTGTCACTGTAGCAGGTGCCTGACAGTGGCTGAGAGACGTCTTTTAGGTTAGCACCACACCTCGGTGTTTGTTTGAGAGGACTCACCCCTTCCAGTGAGTGTGGGGAGACTGGATTCATCTGGGTTGACTGCCAGAGTCTTAGTGTGGATGGGACACCTGTAATTTTCAGTGGCCTATCATTGCTTAAAGTTCAGACTCCTCAGGGTGGCAAGGACGGCTTTTGTTCCCACCAAAAGTTTTGTTTTGCTTCTCTGACCCTCTCCATCTGAGTGCTCTCCTCCTCCGATCTCCTGTTTGCTGTCTCTGCGCAGGTTCTTTCTCCAAGGAACCCAGTAATTCCCACCTCTAAGCTGCTCATGGTCCTCAGGGCCCTGTCACCTGGCTGCAGCATGGGCTTGCAGGTGTCCTGTTGCATTTGCTTCTCTCCTCTGGATTAGAGAGCACGTGATGGAAGGCAAGGGCCAAGACTGCGTTTGCTTCAAAACCATACAGCAAATGTCCTTTGCTAACACAGAGGCTTGCCCATGGTAGGAGTGCAGTGCTGCCTGAGGAACTCCCTTAAGTTCACCACTTAGGAGACTGAGCCCTGGGGAACTGGATGTGTGAGTGAGGTTAGACTGGGATCTGAGATCAGGTTTTGGGCTTTCCTTCCTTCTCTTGCTGTGAAGTGGTTCTGTGGGCAGAGTGTTGTTCCATAGGAAACACATCTTCCTTTTGCCAGTAGCTGGGGTCATCAGTTCAATTAACTGCTCTTTTGAAGTTTTCCAAAACGTTTAAAGGATTGTAAAAAATGGTTAATATTTTGTTGTTTTGTTTTAAGACAGGGCCTTGCTGCGTAGACCAGGCTGTCCTAGAACTTGTCTTGTAGCCCAGGCCGGTTTCTATCTGTGAATCTTTTGAATTAACCTCCCAAGTGCCTGGATTGCATTCTGCACCATCTCAATCACCTAATTCTTCTGGAATTTCTTCTACTGAGTTCCTGGTGTTTGTGATTTCCCTAGTAAAGGCAGGCACTAGGTGAAAATTTATTTTTCAGGACAATGATGCATTTTTGGCTTAGGTAGCTCTCACCCCTCAAAGTGCACCATTTGAGGAGTCATGACTGTTCTCTGGGAAACTCCAGAGTAAGTACTGAAAAAAAAGGAGGAAAGAAAAAGAAGGAAGGAAACAAGGAAGGAAAGAAGGAAGGGACGGTCGTCTGTCAGAGCATCACATTGTCCCTGTACGTGCAGTTAATGGAATGCTTCATTTTTTTCCCTGGAAATCATTAATTCCAAAATCTACTTCTGGTTTAAAGCTAAGAATTATTAGTAAATTGATATTTTAGAGCGCATGTTCTGAATTGTTAGGTCGCCTTCATTAATTTCAGGAGGCAACTCTAACATTTGTGACTCAAATGATGAAAATTGTGGCTAACATTCTCCTGTTGATGATTGCCGGCCTGGAAACCGTCACTTATTACCGGCTCCTCACTCAGCTTTCTCCTGCTGTTTGTCCTTCTGTTTGTCCTTCTGACAGGCCTATGACTTAGACTGCATTTATGTCTATACTTACTTTCAATCCTAGTTTTTAAAAGGTGAAAGTAAAAGATAAACACACAGCAGACTTTCTCCACACTAAATTAAAATTTTTTTTCCTATGTGGGTGCTGGAGAGATGGCTCAGTGGGTGCTGTCTTGCAGAGGACCCAGGCTGGGTGCCCAACATCCACACTGGGCGACTCATAGTCATCTCTAAACTGCAGTTCCAGGGGACCTTCTGGCTTCCCTTGCACGTGCACACATAAAGTAAAACGAAGTCTAAAGCAGTTCCACCACGTGTAGCCCTTGTTTGTGGTGTGTGCTCCTCTTCTCTGGATTAGAGACAGTGAATATGAACACGGCAATCTGAGCATGTGTGCCACCTGGGAGAGAGGCTCTCGTTTCCACATTGTATTACTTTTGTGCCAGTACAAATTCCTGATGGGAACAATGGAGAAAGGCTCAGTGCTCAGGGCTTCGGGGGCTGGAGTCCAAGACCCCTGGGCACTGTGTTTTGGGCAGAAGGCCTGTGTCAAGGAAGCACCTGGCGGAGGAGTGCCTCTGCTTGCCTAGAGACAGGAAGCAGAGGGGCGGCAGAGGCGCCGGGGGCAAGATCACAGTACACACTCCAAGATCACAGTACATGCTGGCCCTACTGGTGAAGGGTCCACATGGCCCTGCCCCTGGGACCCAGTGTATAACACATGAACCCGTGGGGACATTTCACGTTCAGACCTTTATCACACCTGTCAGTGACCACAGGAAAACACGGGACAACTCAAGAGGTTGTATGGTGCGGTTGGAGGTTGGGGGTGTGGGATGTTTAATTCCTAAGTACTAATGCGGGTCATAGTTTAAGACTCCAGGAACAGGCTCTGCCTGTAAACAAGCGACAGTGGCCTGCCACGGTGGAGAATGCTTTAGTGATGCGCATGCAAGGCACGCGTTACTGAACCAACTCAGTCTGGTGCATTGAACGTGCACTCTCAGTTACAGGCCGGGGAAGCTGGAATTGAATACCATTTTACTACTTTAAACCTTGTGTTTCTTCTCCAAGTCATGAAACAAAAACTCCACCTGGAGATGATGGCTGCCTGGCAAGCTTCTTTACAAAGACAGCTGCCGTCCTCACCTGGGTCTGAGCGGCGTGACTGATGCTCACCTGCTCTGGCACCATAGTTATTTTAACTCTGGACATTGATTTCAGCCTCTTCCATAGCAGAGTCTCTCCCTCGCGGGATCAAATAAGAGAACTCAGTGATGATGACCAAGAGGTATAGTTAAAATCAATGGTCAGCTTGGAAAAAGGAGCTACGGTATTCTTTCAAATAAATAATAAAAGAATGATGTAATTAACAATTATCTCATTCAGAAAAACTTCTAGTAATTATATTTTCTCCTTGAAAATTCTGCATAAATCTTTATTTTCTGGACCATGTTGGATAACGCCGGCAGACAACATGCTGGGCTTTCACTGTTGATCCATGAAGTTGGTGTTCATTTTCAGGGAACCGGGTCCACTAAGTAAGCACTGGCCACTTGTATCTCTAAGTGGTCTATGATTTAAGTCCTCCAGCGACCCCACCACATATGGACTGTTCTAACATGCTCAATTAATGCTGAGACAATGATAGTGATGCTAAGCTTGTTATTTTTCCAGAGTCGGGATTTGAACCTAGACTTTCCCAGTGCCAGCGGTCATATTTGTATCCATTTTGCTCTGTGATTTCAGCACACACATCCAGTGGCATTTGTGGCTACATTTTGATATATAGTCTGTGTCCTAATGTCTACTTGTTAAATTCTTACTAGTAGTACTAGAATGAAGAAATTGAAAATGCTTAATGAAATAAAAATTAATAATTTAAATGTAATTAAAACATGTCCCTGTGGGAGCACCACACTGAAATAATTATTTTAGTCAATAGAGAAATATAATTTACTGTTTTCCTACAAAGCCTTTCAGAGTTAAGTTGATGAGCTTGGCCTTGGCTGCTGAGCTGGCCAGCCGGTCTGACTTGGGTCTGGTTCAGTTTATGAACTGCAGTCCAGAGCTCCTCTCTGCCTTCCAGTTTCGCGTCACAGTCGTGTGCACACGGCGGCTTCTGTCTGTGGTTTTGCCATGTTTTCTGCAGTTAGACTTTATGTGTCGTGGATTTGTTGAGTTTAGTCATGATCATGTTTTAACTCACCGGCAGCTGCTTAGATGAATCAAAGCAGTCTTTTGAATAAATTAGATACATGGCCTTAAATCTGAGAAAATTGAGTTGTGAAAGTAGGGTCATGATGGGAGGTCAAAGTAATGGTAGAGTTGAACTCTAAAAAAGAGAAGCCTTCAGATTATGTCCTTTGTAAGTAAGTTTCTTATGTTAGTGAAATGATTCCAATAACATTTTACATCTAGGCTTAGTGAGTGCATCCTCTTCAACAAGGTTTTCTCTTCTTGTGAGGCCTTAGACTGAGGTTGTCTGTAGCTAGGACTGATATAGTCAGTAAAATACATTTTATTTCTTTTTGTGTATATGTCCATGTGTGTGAGTGAATATGCATGTGCATGTCTGTGTGTGTGTGAATGTGTGTGTGTGTGAGAATGTGTGTGTGAGTGTGTGTATGAGAATGTGTGTGAGTGTGTATGTGTGTGAGTGTGTGTATGTGAGTGTGTGTGTGAATGTGTGTGTCCATGTCTGTATGAGTGCAAGTATAGAGGTGAGACAAGGACACTGCTCCCCCACTCTGCCTTAATCCTTTGAGACAAGGTCTTTCACTGAAGTTGGAGCTGGACTGGGGGCCAGCGAGCCCCAGTGATGCTCTTGCCTCTGTTACATGACTACAGTCGCAGGCACCCACGGAGCCATGGGGTTCAAACTCAGGTCCTCTTGCTTACATAGCAGATGTTATCCTCAGACCCACTGCTCTAGCCCTTAAATATTCTCTATTCATCTTAAAAAGTGAATATGGCAGATCTTCCTCCCAGCCTACCTGAAGCAGAATTTGTATTTATTTATAATGATTGGATTCCATTGTGAAATACTGACCATATTTAACCTCACCTCACCTCACATAATTTGCCTCCCCCCCCCTTTTGTAGTGAGAACACAAGGCTCTGCCTTAGCAGAATTCAAGTATGTAGTACAGATGGCTGGCTGTGGTCACCTTCATATATGCTAACTGTCCAGAATTGATTCTCGTGTGACTGGAACTTGGCTTGTGACAGTGTCAGCTGTGCTGTGGTCTGGGCATCTTCCAGAGCTCGTGTGTTGGCAGCATATTCCCCAGGGCAGCATTCTGGGA